TACAATAAAAGCCCCCTCGTTTCCCCTTCTGGCCACGAAAATGGTCCACACAGAGAGACTCCTGCACAGAAGCAGGCCACGGCTGAGAACCAGGCAGAAGGTGCCACCCAGCTTGGAGCTGCAAACCAGCCACTTTCACACAGCTGCCTTCGAGCCCAATTCGTCAAGGGCTCCCCCGAGGTCACATTTCCCCAGGGATGCCGCTCAATGCACCCCACGGTGAATCCTGAGTGCCTACTGGGTGCTGGCCGCAGCTGCCGGCAAGGGAATAGACAGGTACGGTCTCAGCTTCTAGAGAAGCTGAGAAACTAGAAAATCTCAGGTAGCGAATAAAATCAACAAGGTCAATGACAGGGGATGGGAGGCCACTTGAGGCTTGAGTAGTCAGAGAAGGATGCTGAGGAGACAACGCCTAAGCTGAGAGCCATGTGACTCTTGGTGGGAAAGTCATTGCAGGCAGAGGGATTAGTTCATGCAAAGGCCCTGAGGCAGAAGAAAGTTTACATAGTCCAGGAGCAGAAAGACAAGTGCTTTGGCTGGAACAGAGAAGGCAGGAAGGAGGATGGTGATGTGCAAGGTGAGGCTGGGGCCGGAGGGGCTTCTAAACCAGAAAAAGGAGCTGGATTTTATGCTAAGTGCATGGGATGTCCTTGGAGTGTTTTTAGTGACATGATTGATTCAGAGATGTGCACACAGCATCACAGGCTACTAGGACCAGGGCTAGGAGGCGATACATAAGGCAAGTTTCAGGTACAAACTTTGAGACTGTCACTCTTGGAATCATGTAAGTGCTGACTTTCAATGGCCCCGGCCCCTTCCCCAGGCCCTGCATGGAAGGGAGCTGACCGGAAGTCATATAACCAGGAGTGACCCTCCCCAGCCTCATCCTGCCAGCAAACCTGCTTGTTCTCTGACCCGCTGCAGGACTAGGAGGGCAGATCAGGAGAAGAAGAGAGAAACTTACCTTGCACTCCATCCACCAGGGACAGGCTGCAGGCTCCATTTCCTACTGGACTGGGCGCTTCATGCCCGCCCCTCCAGCCTGTTGTAAAGACGGGACGGGTCCTGGGCCAGGTCGGCCTCTTGGAGCACAGGCTCCACTGGCTGGGGTCAGCAGCTCATCCTCTCAGCTGAACCGTGGCAAGGCAAAGCTGCTGGGGCTTCTGAAGCTTCCAGTCTCCTGGCCCAGTGGACTTCTGCCCTCAGGGCGTACAGGGTCAGAGGGAGCCGAACACCCTGCCCCAGACCACTGTATCTCTTCCTTCATCTCACACCTGAGGCGCGAGGGTGGGGGGCGGTGAAGCAAGCCTCTCTCTTCAGGGCAGGGAGCTCGGGAACCTGCTTTCCACCCCCTCAGCCAAGTGGCTCTGTGGCCTCAAGGCTCCTTTTGACCTCAATCAGCCTTAACCAGGAGCACCTGGCTGGCTCACGGGCCCTGGAGCCTTGGCGTGAGGGAGGACCCCCATCTGCTGGTGACTGTCAGCATCACAGCCTCAGGGGAGCTGTGGGTCCCCCTTGCTGGCTCCCACCGAGGTGCCCAGGAAGATGCGCCGACCCCCAGGCACGCTGCTCTTGGGTTTGGTGTGCAGTGCACACGGGGCCCTGGATCGGAGTGGACCTCACCCAGGCCTGGGGCTCAGCGGTGTCTGCTTCCCCTCAGACCTCGTCCAAGTCCTAGTGTCTCCACCACGGTCCCCACTGGGCTCTCACTTGTCCCAGGAATTCGAGCCGGCTCTCGTTCCATGTGCCATGGCCCCAGGGGTCTGTGCCACTCCGTTCCCTGATCCCTGCAGCCAGCACCGCCCTCCTCTTGGGTCCACCGGACGCAGGTGGCCAGGTTTAACAGGATCTGCTCACCCCTGGAGGCTGTGCGTTTCTGGAGCCCGTCTCCCCTCCCCTAGCCGTGACCAAGTGCCAGGCACAGCCTGATGCGCAGAAAAACCACCAGAGATGCGGCTAAAGCAGCCTCCAGCCCCCGTGGTGCCTGTGGTTCAGGGTCGGCCCAGGCCCGGAAGGCTGATTTCAGTGGTCACTATAGCCATGGTCCTCGACCTCAGTGGGCTTTCAGCTTGGCGGGACGTGCAGAGCTTGTCGACAACGCTGGTGGCCCAGACCCAGCTCCAGGGATCTCCACCTGGCGGACGTGGGGGTGGAGGCCATGAATCCGCCTTTAACCACCAGCCACGTGACTCGGGGCGGGTGAGTGGACCTCCCCTCAGGAGACACAGCGGTAGCTGACTTCTCTCCTCACCAGAGGTAGGAAGATGGGGACAGTGATCATACCCTTGGACATACAAGGAACCGAGCTGAGGTCGGTGACCAGCTCAAGGTCACATGGCCAATAAGGAGCAGAGCTGAAATTTAACACAGTCCCAGTGACTCCTGACCCGGAACTTTTAAACTTACACTTCTCATACGGCCACGCATCTGGGGTGGAGCAAAGTCTAGCAACAGATTGCCTTGTGCTGGGGTGTTGGGGACTGACTTTGGTTGTAATGTTTCCACCTGCAGGTGGCTTGAGAGCTGGAGGAAACAATATGGTGGCAATAGATGGCACGGCGAGGGGTCGGGATGGGTGAGGAGGAAATAAGGAACTTTGGGCCTGAAAGTCTTGAGTCCACTTTCTGACCCACCTCTGCCAGCTGTGTGACCCTGGACAAATTGCTTAATGTGTCTGAGCCTCAGTTTCTTCATCTGTGAAGTGGCCATGGAGGTACTCATGCTGTTGAGTTGTTTTGAGACGAGAGGGAATATGCAGGGACCATCTGGCCTGTCACAGCGCTCAGGCACTGGTGCCTGTGGAAAAGCAGCCCTGGCCTTGGAGTCGGAGGTGGGCTCTGGTCCCTCCTGACGTTGAACAGGTGGAACCTGGGTGAGTCATCGACTGTTGGGGCTCCATCTGGTAGAAGAGACATGAGACCTGCCCGCCCCCTAGGGCTTATTGGAAGCATGAGATGGAATATGTGTGAGAGCACCTGATGGAGCCGAAAAGCAGTCCACTGATGCACCCTCTCATTTTCATTTTAATTCCAGGCTACTTGCAGTAACTAAGAAAACTTCGTGAATCTTCTAAGGCCCAACATGGAGATCAGGGGAGGAGACCGATCAGGGTCTGCAAGCGTCCTCTGTGTTCCCTCCTCTTCCAGGAAGCCCTCCCTAAGGCCCAGGCTGGATGAGGGGTCCCACCTCTATGCTCTCAAGGACCCAAGGTTGGCCTCTGCTCCAGCCTCTTACATTTCCCAAATGGTCTGCTTTCTCCTCCATCTACTCTTGTGCCTCCCCGACTGTGAACCCCTCCACAGGCAGGCCTGTGTGAAATTCACCTCTGTGTGCCCAGACCGGAGGTCTGCCAAGGCTGATGAGCTGGATCCACGGATGTTGCCTCATTAGGAGGTTCTGCTGTGTTTGCTTCCCAGACAGGTTTGCTCCAAAGACTGGAAAGTCACGTGGGAGGGTTAATTTGGGGTCAGCTTGATTGGCCACGGGGTGCCCTGATTACACATTGTTTCTGGGTGCGCCTGTGAGTGTGTTTCCGGGTGAGATTAGCATTTGAACGGGGTGGGCGGCATGGGATCTGTTGAGGGCCTAAAGGAAACAAAAGGCAGAGAAGGAGGAATTTGCCCCTTGCCACCGCCTCCCCTCCCCGTGGAGCTGGCTCATCTCATCTCTTCTGCCGTCCAGCCAGTTCTCATAATAAAAAAATAGATATATCTCCTATTGGTTCTGTTTCTTTAGAGAACTCTGACTACATCACGTCTTCTTTTTAGAGAAAGCGTTTAAGTGAGAAGACAGAACTTTGGGCTCTTCCTTCCACCTCTCTGCAAGATTTGGATGGGGGCAAAGACCATTTTGGGGCCTCCTAGATCTACCACCCCAAATCCAAGAAAATGGGTCTCTCACCTCCCATCAAAATTCACCTGTTCTCATGCCCACCCTCTTGCGTGCGGCCCTGGTATCTAACTCTGCCAGGATGTGTCATCAGATGGATGGTTAGCCCTTCAAAGAACTGATTTGCATTCACACCCACTAGGATGGCTAAAATTAAAAAGACAATAACAAGTGCTACGGAGAATGTGGAGAAATCAGAATCCTCATATATTGCTGGTGAGAAGGTACAATAGTGTAGCCACTTTGAAAAATAGTTTGGCAGTCCCTTGAAATGGGAAATATACAGTTACTATATGACCCACCAATTCCTTCCTAGCGATATACCCCAAAAATCTATGTCTACGCAAAAACTTCCAGAGGAACGTTCATAGCGGCATTATTCTTAATGGCCAAAAAGTGGAAACAACCCAAAAGTCCATCAACTGCAGAATGGATAAATGAAAGATGGCGTGTCCAGACAATGGGCTATTTGGCCCTAGAAAGGAATGAAGTACTGATTCACACTACAACCTGGATGAACCTTGAAAACATTCTGTGAAGTGAAGGAGCCAGACACAAAAGACCACATATTGCATGACTCCATCTACAGGAAATGTCCAGAATAGGTAAATCTGTAGGGACAGAAAGTAGCCTTGTGCTTGCTTAGGGCTGGGGGCTCGGGGAGAAATGGGAAGTGACTGCTAGGATGGGGGCTTCTTCTTGGAGTGAATGAAAATGTTCTAAAATTGATTGTGGTGATGGTTGCCCACCTGTAAATATAGGGAAAACCATTGATTTGTACACTTAAAGGGGTAAATGGTGCAGTATGTGAATTAGATCTCAATACGCCTGTTTAAGAAGACATTTGCAATCATAGGAGGCCTTTCTAAATGAAACGGCCTAACTCACTGGCCGGTGGGTGGGAGAGGGACTGAAGGCAGTAAGCTTGGTCAGCAGGCTGGATAATTGCACCGTAAGCTTCCTCAAAACCTTCCGCTTCTCCCTGTTGGAATTTGGAATGGAGCCTTCAGGGCCCCCCCCGCCAGCCCACTCCCACCCCCCTCCCACCCCACCTACACAGAAACCACCAAAACGGAATACACAAAACACAGAAGCCAGAACCATCGCTCCACGCTTGTTCCTTACAATCGCGCTTCACACGTTTATTGTTAATTTTCTTCACGTGGCAGATACAGAACCATCCTCTTCTGTGATCCAAATGCACGCGCGAGAACCATCACTGACCAGGAAACACCACTCTTTAAGAACCGCCCTCCCCTTTCAGGATGGAAACACTCGTGGCAACTCTCCTGCTGGTCTGAGGGTGTTGCAGGCTGACCAGCACGTTTGTGCGTGCCAGAAACGAGTGTCCCCAGGTCCCCCACGACATTTTCCAGAATTTGCCATTGGCTGAAGGTGACTTTGAAAGCTATAGGTTTGTGAGCCTTCCTCGCTGCTAAAAGGGGAAAACCCTCGAGGACTGAGACGCTGGGGTACAGTTCGTGAGCGTCAACGTTTATGGGACAAAATCATATCGTTAGGGTAAGGGACAGCCACAGTTCTTCATGCTTGTGAGGGCTAATTTTAGGAGTGGGCAAAAGGATTCCAGTTTACAAAAATTTCAAACAAACAACGGTTTTTAGCTGGGTGGGAAATAGGGAGACTGCGACGTGGGCCAACGAGCGGCATCGTTCTGCCCATGTGAGGAGCTCCCGGACCACGACCAGACCCCACGCTGCAGCCAGTCGACTGGGTAATTAAATAACACAAGTTATAAAACTTTAAAAATGGGGCATTTACAGTCAGGGACATAAATACGTGCCTTTAAAAGTGTCTACGTACATATTTACAGAGTTGTAAGACCAACCGTAGTAGCCCTGAAAAAAAGTCCCTTTTTCGTGTGACCACTGGTCCTCTTCAAAGTTCCACTTTGGGCTTAATCTATCACTATTGGAAATGGAGCTGAGAAAACAGCGCCAGAGTGGCCTCCGACATCCTAGTCTGGGGTCTGCCCCAAAGGCACAAAACCCAAGGCCCTCACTGAACTGAGTCGGACGCCTAGCTCAGCTCACCCGTTTCTCCGAGACGTGGGCTGTGCCCCCAGAGGGCAGGACCCGACGCCCTCATTCCCTGGCAGGCGACCGATGGCCTCTGGAAATCTCTTTCTTCCCCCCTTGCTTTTCAATCCTCCAACTTATTTTTCATTGCCCAATTTTTGTTTGTTTGTTTCCCTTTTCAGCTAATTGAGAAGCTCAGACGCTAACGGTGTTGATGGTCCCGGCAAGTGAGGCAAAGCACATGGGAGACCTCCTTCTGCCCCTACACGCATCCCCTCCCTGCTGCTCTCACGGGAGGAGCCAATCTATCAATGGGACTAGGGCCTTCTCCCAGGTGCACATGGACTGACTGGAATTTCAAATCTAGAAAGAACTCGAGAGCCAGCAGCTCAGGTGGCTCGGGCAAAGAAGGGGCCAGAGGGCCGGTCAGCGAGGCTCCAACGTGCCCACACGTATTGATTCCCAGAGATGGGGGGGCGAGGGAGGGTGGGGGTGGGGGCGTGGAAGGGGAACTTGGCCTCCGCCTGAAGGCCTTCCTTGGACAGGGCTGGGGCCGACCCTGGGCCAGACCGAAGTCCCCGTCACGGCAGAAGACAACTCAAGAAGCAAAAAGCAGGATCAAGGAGCTCTTGAAAAATTGCATAGTAGGAGAGGCCCCACCCAACAGGAAGGCTGCGCTGCAGGACGTGGTCCGGGGGCTGCACCCACGTGCCATCCCTGCCGAGTCCGCTGCCTTCCTGCCTGCCTGGGGCTCGGACCCCGTCTGAAGGCCGCACGCACACGCACACGCTCTCGCAGGCTCGTACGACTGGGACAGGTCGGTCCTCCCTGCAGGGCAGAAGGCTCGTCCCTTTGGCTTCACTGATTCCAGGTCACTTCAGGTGCTGAGGAGAAAAGAAAAGAAAAATAGTAACAGTTGCCGCATACTCGGGGCCCACTGTGGGCTGTTCAGGCATTATCCCACTTCATTTTTCTAATTAAACAATTTATTGAGTATGCCACACACACAGAAAGCAGCACAGGCTGGTGGATCTTCACAGTGAACACCCCTGTGTGACCAGCACCCAGATCAGGAAATGGAACACGGCCGACCTCCGTTAGCTCCTACCCACACCCTTTTAGGACAACCCTCAGCCCCAGAATAACCACCATCCTGCCCTCTACTCGCTCTTTAACTTAAATCAATGAGCCGGTCAGCACATAGCCTCCTGCACTGGCTTCTTCGGCATAACGTGTGTGAGCCGTCCCTCCCGAGCGGGGGCTATAGCTCTCGGCATCTGCTTGCTGTGCCGGCGTCCACGGGAGGGTTGCACCCTGCATCCGTCTGGTCTGCTGCCAGGGCACAAGTGATTAGGTCCAGTCCGGGGCCACCATGAGTAACGCTGCTGGGACGTTCTCATAAACGTCTAGGGGACACGGACGGTGCACACGTGCCCATATTCCCGCCACATGGAAACCCTGGGTGGTGGGTGTGCATGTGTAACACGAACGCTCTCGCAGGTGTGCTCTGGTGCACACACTTCCGATGAGGGTCTCCCTGGGGCGTCATCACTCGGTCCCGGGGTGTGCGTGTGTTCAGCTTCAGTCGACACTGCCAAGCAGGTTCCAAGTAGTTACGCTATCACTGACCGCCATTCTAGTGCTCACAACCCCCCAGGGCAGGTGACACAGACCCCCGTTCTGCGGGGAAGAAACGGAGGCTCAGCAGGGAGAAGTAACTTTTTTTTCTTGAAGACTTTATCCAGCAGAACTACTACAATGGGGTTTTGCAGTAGGGGAGAGAGATTGGGTTCAACTCCTGAAGTCTAATTTGTTTTTATTTTATTATTTATTCATTCATTTTTTTAAATAAGATTGGCACCTGAGCTAACATCTGTTGCCAATCTTCTTTTTTTTTTCTTCTTCTTCTTCTTCTCCCCAAAGCCCCCCAGTACATAGTTATACATTCTAGCTGTAGGTCCCTCTGGTTGTGGCATGTGGGATGCAGCCTCAGCATGGCCTGACGAGCGGTGCCACGTCTGTGCCCAGGATCCGAACCGGCGAAACCTTGGGCCGAGGGGAAGTGGAGCGCACGGACTTAGCCACTCGGCATGGGGCCGGCCCCAGAGAAGTAACTTTCCTAAGGCCAGGGTGACGCTGAGGGGCGGGGGTGGGCCCGGAGCCCAGTCAGGCCTGCTTAGAGCCGGCGCCTGCTTCCTGGTACGAGCCTGTGGCTCAGCCCTCGGGCTTCCTCCATGGAGACCTGGTCCCAGCCCCTGGCACAGAGCCAGGCACACGGTGAGTGCTTCACACTGTGTGCTTTGGGGGGTCGCATACGAGCCTGGAGCTGTGCTGGGCTAGGTTCAGGGGTTCAGTTCTCTCACCCAGAGGACCTGGTCATCATTACTATTCCCGCTCCTACTAATGACGCTGTACAAACTCAGTGAGAAGAATGATAATAGCGGTGCAGATTTATAGAAGGCTGACTATACGCCAGGCACTTTCCTAAGTGTTTTCATGAACTGGCCTACGCAATCCCTACAAGATACCCAGGAGAGGGATATTACCATTATTAACCCGTTTTACAGATGGGTGAATTGAAACACAGAGACGTGAAGTAGCTGCCAGGGTTACTGGAGACAGGATTCAACTCCAGAAAATGCGCACTAACCACTACACGACATCAATTTCAATCCCCCAAAACCTCTGATGAGGCTGGAAAGAGAGCTGCTTGCGGTGGAGCAGGGCGCCTTCAGGACAGGCAGCCTCCCTTCCCAGGGGCAGCCTGCATGTGCCCACGCCTGGCGGAGCCCCAGCAGAGGGAGGAACGGACACAGAGACACGGCCAGCATGGAGCGGCCTGCACCCCTCATCTGGCGTGGCCATTGTGTGAGTTTCCTGTAGGTCGTGGTGCAGGATCCACGAAAGAAGCCACCTTGCCAGGTCCCACCAGAGAGGCCGCCCTCCAGGGAGGGGCCCAACAGCAGGGGCTGTGGGCTGGACACCTGGGGCTGGAGCTGAGGGGAGGTCGGGAGAGGCTGCGCCAGAGGGGAGCTCTCTTATCAGGGTGGCCTTCCACCCAGCCCACTCCGGGACCCTGTGAGAGGTCTTAGCCAGAGGAGCAGCGACAGCCCAGAGGAGGATCACGGTGGCAGCCAGACAAGTGAGAGGTCCAGTCCCTCCGCTGGACCCCCCTCTCAGACCCTCAGGCACGAGTCCAGCTGGCCTGAGGATTGGACAGAGACAGAGGTGAAATAGGACGTGCAGTGGAAGCTTCGCGCTGGACTAGGCAGTGTGGCCCTTCCCTATCTGTAAGAGTGAACAGAAAGCTCTGGGTTTTGCCTGAGACACCGTGAGAGCACAGAAAAGGGAGACGCAGCCCAGGACGGCAGAAGGCAGATGCCGGAGAACAGCCGGTTCGCACGGCCTGGTCACAGAGCCTCTGAGCCAGCGGGACAGCGGGGTGAGGGGCAGCCACGGGTCCTGGTGCTCTGAGGATGCCATCCTTTTCTCAGAACAAACCTTGTCCTCATGCACAGTTTGCATATGGTTGCGGGGACAGACACAGCCCACGTAAAGTCCATTGTCCACTGCAGGAGTCAGAGATGCCAGTTCTGCTCCCACGTCTGCCACTCGCCCGCCCCGTGCCTCAGTCCCCTCTCTGTAAAGTGAGGGCGTGGACCTACACATCCCTTCTCATGCTAAAATCCAGTGCCATGGTATTTTTAAAGATCATTCTGGAACTGTGTTAAACAGTGCAATTGACTAAGTTGTGTTCCCCCAAAATTCACATAGGGTAGCCGTGAGCCCCAGTGTGATGGTATTTGGGGGTGGGGCCCTCACAAGTGGATTAGTGCTCTTGTAAGAAGAGACACCAGAGCTTTCTCTCTTCACCACCAAGGCCACGGTGAGAAAGGGGCTGTCGGCAGGCCGGGACGAGAGCCCTCACCAGGACGCCGCCTGGCAGCCTGACCTCAGACTTCCAGCCTCCAGATCTGCGAGAAATCAGTGTCTGTTGTCTAAGCCCCTGGTCTGTGCCATTTTATCATGGCAGCCCCAGCAGACTAGGACAAACAGTACACGGAAGACGTGTCTGAAGTCATTTAAAAAAATTACCTATATAAGTGGCACATGCTTGTTGTCAATACAAATTTGAAAAATAGAAAAAATTAAATAAGACTTTAAGGAGCAAGTTTCAGTCCCTTAGAAATTAAACTGTTGAGTTTGGCATATTCACTGTTGGCGAGTGAATACCAGCTGAGGGTGGCAGATGCAGACTGAGTTGGGCCTGTAGTCATCTGAGCATCTAGCTGGGGAAGCTGCACAGGTTTGAAAATACGGGAAAAGAATGCACCTGTGTGGGGTCGTGCCCTGGCCCCAGGGGAGAGCTTCAGTTAGCAAGGCTCGGCAAATGCCGTGGGTGGACGTCATCATCGCTGAGACCACGGTGGCCCAAGGAAACGCCCAGTCTGTGAAGGAATCAGCCCAGTTGCACCTGGCTCTCCCTCTGCTGCCACAGGGAGGGTCCCGGGACACGCATGGGACTCAGAGTTGGGAAGTGCTCATCCTGGTGCTGCCTCCCATTCTCCGGAAGACTCTAGCCAAGCCTCTCCTCTCCGGGCCCACTCTTTCCATCTGTAAAATGGGACAGGGGGAGGGCTGACCTCCCAGCCCTTCCAGTTCTGCCACCTTAGCGTCCATGTCAACTTGGCCCCACAGCATTCCCAGCTCGGGTCACATCCCCTCTCAGGAGCGGGTTCCCGAGGGGCGGGCTCAGTTCCGGCTGCAGACAACAGATTCTGGGAAGGGGGGGTTTTATTTCATTCGCCTCCCCAGTTCCTAGAGAAATAAGGGCAAGCCCAGAAGCTCCGACGGCTAAGGAAGGGAGGAGCGAGTGAGTGATGGGGGTGGGAGGGAAGACAGCAGAGAAGGTACCACACAAAAGACCCCAGACTTGCAGAATTCTGCCCATTCTTGCCTTAAACAACCACATTCTCATTCCAAACGACCCTACAGGCACCCCCAATCTTACGTGTGTCCCAGATCACGGCGCCACCCGCTAACACAGATTCCCAGGCCCTGTGCACCAGCATGCTTGTTCAGTAAATTGGCAGCGGGACCCTAGGCTGTTTTTAACCAGTGCCCCAATGCACAGGTGCATGGGGTTCTCCAGTCATGCCTGACACACCGTCTCGGGGACATGCTGAGAGAAGGCATACTGTGTCACCACAGGGAAGCCCAGCCCCCAAGATGGAAAGTCCAGCTTCTACGAATGAACTCAGGTTTTACCATTAGAAAATCTGGAAAAAGGCTTCTGGTTCAACAGAATTCTAAGTTTCATATTTTACAGATTAGGATTCCTTTCACTTTCAAATCCACTGTGGGAATAGGGCGTCCACAATCTTCTCTGGGCTTCAAGCCTCTGGAGGCCGTGATTAAGTGCTATGTATTATTACCATTATTATTATCCCAATAATCACAGTTAATACGTACCTAGTGCCTCCTATGGGCCGGGCACTGTTCCAAGTGCTTTGCACCCATTTAACACTTGTAATTCTCACAACCCTAGGAAGTAGGTACTACTGTCATCCCCATCTTATAGACGTGGAAACCGAGGCTCAGAGATACTGAGAAACTTGTTGAGTCCCGCAGCCAATAAGCGACAGAGCTGGGATTTCAACCCAGGTGGTGCAGGGTCCACCCTCCCTGCAGGAGGCCCAGTGCCCCAGCTGGCACACAGGAGGCTGTACAAACGATCATGCCCACCCCTTCTCTTCCGCCCAGCCCCGCCCAAGACCCAAGCCCAGCCCCCCGAGGTGCCCAGAGCCACCCAAACGGTGCCAGAAGCTGCTCCAGCCTTCTCGTACCTGTCAGGGAGCAGGCGAAGCGTCTACTCTTTGAAGAGGGGTCCCTGGAACTGGGCTGCAGCCGCGGCCTTGACATTCCTACACTGCCTGGTGATGTAGGGGGCGGCGGGTGGAGGGCACCGGGATGCCAGGCGGAGACTGTAGCTGTGCGGGGAGAGGAACAACACATGCCATCACCAGGAGCCTGGCCGGTTGACCCGGACGGCGCCTGGGAGGCCCAGTGAGGGCCCCGCCTCTCCAGGCACCTTGAAACCAATAGGACGCGAGCTTTAACAACCCCTGTGAGCCCCACTGAGCCCGGTCCGCCACCTCCCCTCCTCTTGGAGGCCACGGGCCAGCGGATGTGCCCAGCATTTGGGTTCGGAGACCCTGCGCACAGCGGGGTCATCCTGGGGACCGCAGGAGGCGAGCTGGGGATGAACGCTCGTGTGCAGCTTTACCCTTTTGCCCTCCAAAGCACCTGGGGAGGGTTCCAGTACCAATCCATCGCCTTGGGTGGGGACAGGAGGGAGGGCCCGGTCCCCTCTAGGCCATTGGCTCCACACTGGCCCTCTATCCTGGCTTCGCTGCACCGAGCACTGTCACATCCGGGATCTCAGAAATCCTGTGACACCGCTTGGCCCTATTTGCTACTACAGCCCATTAAATTGGGTTTTTTTCAGGAAAAAGCTTCAAAGTTTTTTTAAAGATGGGTAACCCAGACGTTACTGCTCCCCTCCTTCAGCAGCTCACTCCTGCTCGTTTGTCAGGCCTCGGCTGGGGTGCCACCTCCTCCAGGAAGTGTTTCTTCTCTAACTCCTGTGCGTCCCCAGCACCCGCGTTCTTCCCATCATAGCACTGTTAGGCTGAGTGGCAAAGGCAGGACAATGGTCCGCCTCCCCCGTGAGCTGTGAGAGCCCCAGGTCAGGGCCTTTGTCTCGTTCGTTGCTGCGTCCCCAGCCCAGCACAACAGAAATAAGTATTTATCGAATAAGAACAACACAGATGGCACTTAATGAGGTGCCCAGCACTGTGTTAGGTATTTCACGTGTATCAATATCTTACTCTATGGACAACCTACCAAGGCAGATACTATTCGCCCTGCTTTACAGATGGGGAAACAGAGGCACAGGGAGGTTCAGTAACTTGTCCCTGGTCCCAAGTCTGCCTCTCTAGATAGAAGAACAGAAGTGAGCAGGCCCTCTGGTCAGGAGAGGTGGGAGGTGAGATGTGGGGGGGCCGGGGTAGGGTGGGCACGATGACCAGGACAGTGGGAAGGATGGACACTTCGACAACTTCCCGTGCTCCAGGAAGCCAGCTCTGTGTGAGGGAGCAAGAGACAGGGACCGGGCCAGTCTCGAAGCTGAACCGCCAGGGTTTAGACCAGTGCTTCTCAACCGGGGCTCACATTTGGCAATGTCTGGAGACATTTTTGGCTGTCACCTCTGAGGGGAGGGATGTTACTACTGGCATCTAGTGGGTGGGACCAGGGATGCTGTGAAACATCTTACAACGCACGCACCGGACGATCCCCACGGCAAAGGGCAACCCAACCCAAAGTGTTCGCAGTGCCAAAGTTGACAAGGTAGCTCTCAGTACGTGCTTATGAAAATAAATGAAATAAGTGAATGCATGAACAGACAGACATCGAAACAAACCAGCAAGGGCCTGGCTCCCCATCCAGGCTCAGGCCGCCGCATTTGAATTTCTCCCCCACACTGTGTGATCCAGGCCCATGGTCAGCTCTTTCCACCACCTGAGCAAGGTTCAAGGCAGAAGACCGAGACCCGGCGCTCAGCGGTAAGCCTGCGCCCCACACGGTCCACCAAGGCTGCAGGGATTATAAGGCCCCCAAGGTGGCCTGTGAGGGCTCCATGGGCTGGCTGGCACCCCGGTGTGAGCTCAGCCCCTGGGCCAGCTGTCCCAACCGTGAGTTGGCAACCAGCTGTGAGGCAGCCTGGAAACAGGGACAACTTGCACACCCTTGTCCTGTTGCAGAATAAGGGATGGTCCTGGCACATCACGGGTCTCCCCCCCATGTCCCCTCTGGGGAAATGTCTCCAGCGGGGTATACAGGACGAGCAGCAGCTCTGGAGACGCTCAGGCCCTGCGCCATCGATATCCAGCTTCTTCCTCTGTCTGTTACCATCATCACTCATCTATTAAACACTCAAAACCCAAATCAATCAAACGGGGAGAACAGCCCCTAGCCTTGCAGCCTCTCCAGCTGCCGGCCTTTCCCTGCTCCCTTCCCTTCTGTTCCACTCAGGCTTCTGAGGCCGCAGCAACCACAGCCGTTTCCACTAGGGGGCGTGCTTTCTCCTGGCTCTGGGCATCCACCTGCGGGGAGCACTTATGGCCAAGGGCAAAGCCAGCGAGGACAGGTCCCTCCCACCACCCCAGCACCCTGCCTGGCCCAATGGAGCATAACATCCCAATGGAGCGACAGGCACATGGCCCTGTGGTCCCCAGGGCCTTTCTCAGCGGTTATCTCTGGACTCTCCCAGCCACTCAGGAGGTAGGAAGACCGAGCGCTTTTATACCCATTTCACGGATGAGGAAACTGAGGCTCAGACAGATGTGGAGACTTTCCTAGGGGAGCAGAGCCTAGGCCCAGATCCATGGGCCACCAGGTCACCACCTGTTTCCCGTCAGGACCAGGGCAGTGATGGCCAGCAGGACAGTCTCCTTCCTGATCCTGAAACCCTTTCTCTGGTCAAAGGACCCCGGAGGGCCCAGTGGCTATCTGGGGCCGTGATGCTAAGTGCCAAGCATCCCCAGAACCAGACAGTTCTCAGTCCCCAGCTTGGTGGTGGTGAACGCGCAGAGACCTCATGATTCTTGGTGCCCACTTGCTAGCTGTGTGACCTCAGCAAGTCATGGACCTCTCTGAGCTCCAGTTTCACCATCGGAAAAATGGGAACAGTAATTTCAGAGGGTTATTGTGATAATTAAGTTTAGAGACAGCTCTCGGCACAGCTCTCGGCGCTGCTCTGACCGGCACTCCACTCTCTACGAGCCCTGTGTTTGGACGGTGGTAGTTGGGGGAGAGGGCGGCTCTGCTAAGGGAAGAAAGGAATCCTAGGAGAAGCCATGTGGCAGCACGGCCGTCAGAGACCAGGGGCGAGTTCCCCTCCTCATACTCGCTGGCTGTGAGACCCAGGCTCTCCCTGCCTCCCGGCCTCGGAGCCTCTGTTTCCTCATCTGTGAAGTGGGGACGCCCCCGCCGGCCTGCCGATGCAGAGCAGGGCTGGGAAGAGCTGGGGGACGCGGCCGGGAGAGCCCGCTGCCTTCCGAGAAGAGGTCAGCACCGTGGGATCTTCCAGTGGGGTGACGGCGTGGAGCGTCGGGGCAGGAGCCAGGCCGGGCCTCCCTCCCTCTCTTCCACCCCCCGCTTCCCCCGAGCCTGGTCTCCTGCGAGAGCCCCTCCTCACTGGCTTCCTCACTGCCACGCTGGCACCCCTCCCATCTGTTCGACTGAGGAGTGACCCTCCCTTCCCAAGGTAATTGGGTCATGACACACCCCACTGCAACTGTCAATTCCGGGCCCCCCGATGGGCACCACGTTCTTTACACAGATAGTCCAGCCCCACTGACCTCCCAGCTCATCTCACTTCCTTCAGCCCTGGTTACCCCAGCGACACGGGGCTTCTTCCAGCACATCCACACAGAGCCCTCTGGCCAGGGGGCCTTCAGCCCTGGCTACTCATTAGAATCACCTGGGGCAGCCCGGGCTGCATGCCAGACCTGCGACATCAGAACTGCTGCAGGTGGCATTGGACATCAGTGTTTCAAGCTCCCCAGTGAGTCCCACGTGGGACCAAGTAGGGAACCACTGCTCTGGGGATGCTTCCAGGCCACCTGTATGAGGCAAAGTGGCCGTGGGCCATGTCCTCTCTGCCCTAGCCCTGCGGCTTCATGTTGTCTGTGTGACTGTGTGATGGATGCGGGGCTTCCCGGGAGACCAGCGGTCTATGACTGCAGAACCTGGCTGCGTTTGCCCATCACTGTAGCCTAAACTTCTAATTTTGAGTGAGTGAATAGCAGACCCTCAAAATCTAATGAATGAAGAAATGAGTGACTCTAGACCCCACGATACTCCCACTGCACAGGCTTTTTCAGACATCAGGAAACCTGCGCCCATTTAGTGCCAGGGCTAGAGGGCGGACTTAGGAGGCCTCCTCCTTGAACACCTCTCCTAACAGCCCAGGAAAACGGCTAACGCTCGTAACTAAATCCAAGACATCAAGAAAGGGCGGAACAAGCTCAGCATCCGCTGTTTCTAACAGGCAGGCGAGTATAGCACTTCTTTTATAAGGTTTTCATACGACATGGTTTAACTTTTATAAAATAGTGTTGTGGCCGGGAGGGGCCTGCTCAGTGCTCCACACAGACTTTGCTCAGAGTTGTCCATCCACCTGAAGAAAGCTCTCTACTCTTGGGCTCTGGACATTTCACCTAAGTGGAACAAAAACACACGGATGGTTAGAGCACAGCGGGGCCTCACACGCAGTCTCGCCCCAGTCTGCACAGGTGGGGAAGCATGAGCGGAGAGGATGTGTCCAGCACACCTGGCTCGCAGCAAGGGCTCATAGACAGTGGCCTCACAGCATCATCTCCTCCGGATGGTAATTTCTTAATTGTCAGAATCCCTCAATGGTCTGAAGGCACCGAAAGGGCAGAGCTGTTCTATTCCTGGCACTTGGGGACACATCCATTCTGTCATTCAGCCACTTAACATTTCCTTGGTCCAGTCCTGCCACAGGGACTCGACACGTCCTGTTCCCTGCCTGGAAGGCTCCCCACAGGGCATCACGGGGCTCGCCCCTCCCTCCAAGTTCTTGCCAAGAGCCGGCTTCTTGAGGACCCACCCCTCCCCACTCCACCTGAGATTGCAACGCCCTCCCCGACACTCCCGGCCTGCAGGCCAGTGACTTTCTTTACTCTATTTACCGCCAACACACTCGGGAGCTGCTTGGTTGTTTGTTTACCAGCTCCACCAGGATGTCACTTTTTGTCCCCAACATACCCCCAGCACCGAGACAGGTGCCTGACGCACGGTAGGGAGCCATTCACTATCTGTTGGCTGAACGGTGTGTCCACCACCGTCCAGGGGCTTTGCCGAGGAAGATTTGGTGAGTAAGACACACAGAGTTCTTGACCTT